CCAATCTTTAGATGGAATCACAGAAAGAGCTGAGTTGGAAGGGACCCACGAGGACCATCAAGTCCAACCTTTAGCCCTGCACAGGACTATCCCCAGGAGTCACACCATTTGATCTTCCAATGGAAACTGGAGGAACACATAGGCCTACCGGAATGCCAAGGAGGGTTGTGTCTTCCTTGAATAGTGGTTTCAGACAGGCGACATTACATGTGTCATAAGAAATGACATAAAGCTCTTTTATTTGGGCAACTGATTGAAACCAAAGTTGTCAAAGAATTGCTCTCCAGACTCCTTTAACTGTATATACTAACTCTTCAGTGATTACAGTTGGGCCTTATATTGTGAACTTGCATGGAGAAACAGACTTACAGGCGTATCACGCTTCAAAAGTCCTTCCCAGGCTGGAGCATGATATTATAATGTTGACACTGAGTGGTCTGAATTTTACCTTTAGTGATTCATATTAAAATATTTTCTAAGAAAATTTATCATTTAGCATGAGAGTTACGTACTGTGAGAACACCTGGAAGAAACACAAGTAATACTTACAGATTGCACTTGGAGCTGCAGATCATTTTTCTCCTTCATTAGAGAAGCCATTTTCTCCTCCAGCTCCTTCCGCTTTGCCTCAGACTTCGCAAGCTCTTCCTTGGTTTTCTCAAACTCTCCCTTCATGTTGGCCATCTCCTTCTCAGACTCTGCACTCTTCAACAAGGGCTTGATCTTGAAGAACAGCTTCATCCAGGGCCAGTGTTTGACATTCATGAATGAACGAATGTTGTACTGGATGCAGAAGATGGACTCCCTGGAGCATAATTCATGTGTACAATGAATATTTTCAGTCTGAAGAGTGTCAACACTTTCCCCCAAGCACAGTGGCTTTAACTGAGGATGAGGAATGTGTACCTTCTCTCCACCATTCTCTGGTACTCCACCCTCATCAGAAAACCTCTGCACAAGGCCTGTGTGCGGGTGATGAGCTGTGCCAGCTTCTCATCCCTCATCTCCTCCAGGAGCCCCAGCAGCCCAGCTTTGAAGAACACCTTGGAGAGGGAATGTTGCAGCACACCACTGTCAGGCAGGGCAAAGCACAGGCCCAGAGGGAGTGAGGGAGTGGGGGGTTTGTACCTTGGTGTGTCCAAATTTGTACTGGGTGTGGTCCACATCGATTGACCCAAGGAGCTTCTCAGAAGCCTTCTTGCTATCGATGAACTGTCCCTCTGGGATGGCACTGGCATTAAGCACCTTGTATCTGTGGAATTAGAGGAAATGTGAAAGAAGACAATGCCAAGTCACAAGGTTATACTGTTTATTAAAACCAACATCAGCAGAATGAGGCTGAGCAAGTTGGAATTTCATCCCTTTGTTTAGAGACACCCTTATCTTGAAGTTCTAACCTGGTAACAAAATCAAGGAAACTTTTCCAGTCACAGGTGAAAAGAGGACACTGATCTCCAGTCACTTCAATCCATATCTTTTTTTACTTAAACTATGCTGTCGAAAATTGCTGCAGAGGAACATTGCCACTATGTGGGTAGGAGGAAAGCCTCGTCCCCTGAAACTTGCGGCTGATACAGTGACCAAAGAACTCTGAGAGAGTTTGTAATTCTTATGTGAGAACATATTACAACCACGTAACTGCTGTTATTAATCTTGTAATCAGTGCCTTGTGTCATTCTACTGTGCTTCTGTACTCAGAGACCCTGCAAAGCTCAGTTGTGTGACGGGCAGTGGTCGGTGAAGACACACGACACTCTTCATTTCATAGCTCTTACCTCTGTTTGAAGTCAGCGTAGAGGACTCTGCTGGGGAATCCTTTCCTGCAAATCCTGATCCCTTCCAGCACGCCGTTACAGCGCAGCTGGTGCAGCACCAGCTCGTGCTCCATGGCACCTGAGCAATGCAGAGCAGAGCACAAAGGAATGGCACAGATTCCAGTGCAGAGGGGAATGGATGTGCCAGAGCAAAGCCTCTTCCTACTTGAGCATCTTACCAGGTGTTTTAGTCTCATTGGGGATGATGCAGCGCACAAAATGGGGGTGAGTGCTCCGCAGATTGGTCATCAGCTTGTTCAGGTTCTCCTGTGGGTTCATCACTGAGTAAATATGTGTAAGAAAAAATGACCCTTTGTGTTGTTTGACCTTAGCATGAAAGGCCCATCAGTGGAGATGCTGCAAGTTATCAGCTGAGAATACCTCAATCAATAGCTCAATCCCCTCTGACTCTTAACATTAAACACCATCTTGTAGCATAAGAATCAATCCAATGAAGGATAGAAAGTGGGCACTTTTTTTGAGAAAATTTCTGTTTATTTTTATATTTAATGATGGTCTAAAGAGAAGTCATAAGTATTTGGAATCTCTTTTGATTGGTTGGTTGGTTGGGGTTTTTACCCTCTTTACTGTGTCTGAACCAGTTAAAAAACGCAGAATAATTCTTTGCATAAATGAAAAGATAAGGTGTTTACATACCCGGAAAAGAGCTGAGACAGTCTGGAAAGAAGAACCCTTCTTCTTGGCGCCTTTCTTGCCACCACCACCACCACTACTGGCCTCTGATAAAATGAAGATAATGAAGATAAAATCTACTGCTTTGGGGCTCAGTTGCTGTGCATCAAAGAGATGACATTTCAGAGAACTGACCTGCTTCTCCTCCAGCAGAAGCAAAGAGTAAGGCCAGGGTCTTCACAGATGATTTCTGGTACAACCCAATGACAGTTTCATTCAGAGGGTCCTTGTTCTTCTCCAGCCACCCAGTGATGTTGTAGTCCACTGTGCCAGCGTAGTGCACCAGGGAGAAGTGGGCCTCAGCCTTGCCTTTGCCAGGCTTGGGCTTCTGGAAGTTGTTGGACTTGCCCATGTGCTGGTCATAGAGCTTGTTCTTGAAAGAGGTGTCAGTTGCCTTGGGGAACATGCACTCCTCTTCCAGGATGGAGAAGATGCCCATGGGCTGGGGGAAACAGCAAAAAATAGCAGTGATAAAATACAGATCTACCTTCAGAAGGGGACTGCAGGGAGACAGAGGAAACTGAGAAATTGATGGAACTTTCGGATCAAAAATGGTTCAGATCTTTGTTAATTTTTTCAGGCTTCGTTCCAGACAAAATGTGAATTTGTGTCTGACTAATGCATTTCATGGCTGGTAGTGTCACAATAATCAAACAATATTTTCTGAGTAATTTTGAAACTGATGAATTGAAAGATGATTTGTTTATTACATTACTATTTTCACAAAATAATTTGTATAGTCGAAGGTGTCTTACTAAAATTGACCTTATTGCCACAGATCAACAGATCTTTCAGCTACATCCTCCTTTTTTTTTTTTTTCACGGTGTATCTGTCTTTCTGTTCCTATATAAGATGATGTTGCCCAAAAACAGTGTCTACTCTTAGTGATGTTTTTACTGATCCCTATTAAATCAGTACTTTTTTCTATACACACCTATTATTTTTCTTAGAAATTAAGTTTCAGAAATCACAGTATGAATACGGAAATCATGATATTGAAATTGTATCTAGATTCCTCAAAAGAGATCTTTCATCTTTGTAGTCTAGAAAACACACCTACAGAGAATCCTTGTCATCCAGTGATGTGTGATTACATTAATTCTTCTATTGCCATACAAGAAAAATTACGGTTAACTTTTTTGAAATGCATAGCAGTATAGTTAATGGTGACCTAAAAGTACTTAATTTGTAGCCTAATCACAAAGGTGCTTAGAACTTACTTCCTGAATACATGCAGTATTTGAAATAAAAAGGTACTTCAAATAGAAAGAACCAGGAACATAAATGGTTAATAATAGATAGGTTTATGAAGCATTAGAGCAAGAAAAATGAAGGCTAAAGAAAAATCCTGAAATTCTGTCACAAAGAAGGTAACTAAATTGTAAATGTAATCAACACACCTTCTCAATGAGCTCAATGCAGGCAGCCAGGTCCATCCCAAAGTCAATGAACTCCCACTCAATTCCCTCCTTCTTGTACTCCTCCTGCTCCAGCACGAACATGTGGTGGTTGAAGAACTGTTGCAGCTTCTCATTGGTGAAGTTGATGCACAGCTGCTCCAGGCTGTTGAACTGCCCAAAGACAATGCAAAGACAAGATTCACTCATTCTCCAGAGGAAGAACTGCCTGTATAGTTTTCTTCTTCAGACTCAGAAACCTACGCAGGGATGCCAAATTAACACAAATATTTTTTTAATGTAAAACATCTAATTAAGTATTTTTAAAGGTTTTTTATTTGGTTGGTGGGGTTTTATTCGCTTTGTTTTTTTTTCTTTGCTACTTGCATGATGTTTAAATATATTATTTATTTTTAAATCAAATTTCCAAATTGTTAGGTAGTCTTATACCTATCAAGGCACAATTTACATCACTATTTTTTCTCATATTGTGTGAATTTTCCCATTGCCCTAACAAAAAAGTTAGACATTGTCAGTGCTTGCCACTCCTGGCTTGGACTCAGATACATTTCACAAATATCTATAGAACTTCTCAGTTTCAATTAAAGCAGCTGATGTACTCTTCCTGTTGGAATCACCCTTTAGCTCTTAAGAAGCAAAGGATGTATATATATATTTTTTCCAAAGCCTTGACAAACTTTTGTGTGAGACCTAAGTCTACCTTTCTCTTCTTACATTCTGTAATATTGTACCTTGGGTATTTATGCATTGTTTGTAAGTGGATTTTTTTTAATATTAAGTTCAAATTGTTGAAAAACTGCAACATTTGTGCTAATTATATAAAATGCAGATGCTTCTTCCTTGTGTTTCACATAAAACTATTAAATGAAGATGTATTGAAGCTCACAGATTGAGCTGGAATAAAAACACTGAGATATAAAAGGAAGGAAAAGATTTCCAGAAAATAACAAATTTTCAAAAAAATGCAATACTAATTTGAAATTGCAAGTGAATGGAATGTTTGAAAAAAAAAAAACTAGAATAAGTGACCAGTTTCAGTTGATGCCTAACTGCCTTTTCAAGATTATTCTGTGATTTCAGTGTTCCTTACATCAAAGATCTCAAAGCCAGCAATGTCCAGCACACCAATGAAGTACTGCCTGGGCTGCTTCGTGTCCAGCTGTTGGTTGATGCGAACAACCATCCACAGGAACATCTTCTCATAGACAGCCTTTGCCAGGGCACCCACTGAATTGTACACCTAGAACAAAGAAGAATAGAGCAGAAGGAAAACAGTACACACAGTAAGACAGTAAATTAAGAAAGAGCTTCCCAGGCTGGTTGTTACCTGCTGCACCGTTTGGCCCTTGGTCACATACTCATTCCCCACCTTGACTCGGGGGTAGCAGAGGGCCTTGAGCAGGTCTGCTGAGTTTAGACCCATCAGGTAGGCAGCCTTGTCAGCAACTGATAACAGAGAGAGGGAGACAGTGACAGAGGAGAAGTGATAACTGAAAGTGGATCTCCTATAAGATGTAGCTGTAGGATTCAGCAGTGAAATTTTGTGATATCTTACAGGGAAATTTAGAATATTCTGGAAGCTGAGATCTATGTCTTTGTGAAAGTAAATTGGAGCAAAATACCTGAATACTGACTGCCAGCTGTGTAACTGGTTCTATTACTGAGAGTTCTAGATTTTGCTGTTACCTTCTGTACCATCAGGCTCTGCCTGCTCCTCTCGTTGTTTCTGCTTGAACTTCAGGTTCCCATAGTGCATGACTGCCCCTGTCAGCTTGTAGATGGCTGTTCTCTCATCAGCAGTGAAACCCAGGATGTCAATGGCACTCTGGCAACAGAACCAGACAAATAAACTTCTGGGCCATTAAAAGGAACTTTTACCACACCAATGTGCTCTGTGACACTCACATCTGTTGCCATCAGCTCCTCCTGGTCATTAATGCTGGCAACAGTGATCTCACCTTGACTCACAAACTGATAGTCATATGGGTTGGTGGTGATGAGGAGCATGTCTGTAAAGATGAATAGGATGTGAGAATGGAGATGAATGTTGAACACATTCAGATTTTATCAACCACTTTATAATACTTCCTACCAATTAGCTCTGGCTTCTTGTTGGACATGATCTGATAGAAGATGTGGTAGCTTCTTTCTGCCTTGAGCTGGAAAGTGACTCTGGACTTCTCCAGCAGATCTGGCAAGGATGGTAGGACAGAGTTAGGCCTGAAAAGGAACACTGAGGTGGAAGGGGAGGAAGGAATGGGATCAGATCAGAAGGTCTCTTACAAGTTTCAATGTCAGCAGAAGCCAGTTTGCCTGTGGCCCCAAAGTGGATTCTGATGAATTTGCCCTTTAGAGGGGAAAGAAAAAAAAAAGCATTTTTAAATTTCACTAAGATGTTCTCCACAGAAGACAGGCTTCAAACACAGTAGTTGTTTGGATTTTATTTCTTCTTTAAAAAAGCAAAACAGGACAAAAACAATTTCAGGAAACTCTCTCTACTGGCAATACTAGTGTAAAAATCTGAGCTTTATTACTCACTCTTATTTAATGGATAACTGTGAATACATAGGAACAAGAAAACCACAAGAAAGTCTTTTATTGGGTCATTAATGTTGCAATTCAAACAGATATAGTGAAGGCCATTTTTTAACCATAGTGCATGCTGTGAAGGTGGATTTTGGTGGTCTAAATGTTAATTTTTTTTTTTTTTTTTGGTCTTGGGGAAAACAAAAGTGAGCTGTTACTTTATGAGTTGTGGGGATAGATATTATAGATATTTAAGCATTTTTCAGTTATCCCCCTTTGTGTGCTGTATTGCACTTCCAAAGATATATTTTTAGTCAGAGAGTCTAGTTAATTTCTAGTTGTCAAAAATATGAGGAAAATATTAGCTCAATAGTCATCTGACTGTGGCACTTCATAAGTGACAGCATCAGTTCTGACATTCCAGTTCCCTTATAAATGACAAGTTTTGTCATTAGGAACAACTCACAAAGCGTGAGGAGTTGTCGTTCCTCACGGTCTTGGCGTTTCCAAAGGCCTCCAGCAGTGGGTTGGCGCTGATGATTTGATCCTCAAGTGTCCCCTAAAACAGAAATCTTCTTGTCATGATTTAGCTCCTGAATAAATTTGATAGTTTCAGGTTCCTACCCCTGCAGGGACCTCACCTGCATTTTGCCTGACGTCTGCTCCTCCTTCTTCTTGTCCCCGCTGGCTGCAATTGTTGCAAAGTACTGGATGACACGCTTTGTGTTCACAGTCTTCCCGGCCCCGGATTCTCCGCTGGCAGAGCAAGGAGAGAAGCAGAGAGCGTGTGGTCAGGCAGGAGGGGCCCTGGCCCTGGGCAGCCCCGCAGGGACCCGAGCAGGGGGTGTACGTACGTGATCAGGATCGACTGGTTCTCCCGATCTGCAGAAGAGGCAGAAAATACACACTTTATAAA